TTTGTTTTTCCTGCCATATGCTGGGCAATCGTATAGCACATGCTCCGCATTTCTCCGGAAGACCGCACGGCAACATGCTCACCTGAAGGTTGAAACGCTACTACGTAACCGGAACGTAGCGCCGTCAGCAAGCTCGCAGCCGCAGCGCAAGCGGAAGGTGCGGATTGGCCGTGCGACTGCGATACCATGACCTCCACGGAGACCATGTTCCTTGCGTTCAAAAACTTCTCCCGGGAAGTCCTAGAACGTAAAGATGTAGGGCGACCCCGCGGGCACGACCCAGACCCCTAATTTTAAAACCACAGCGGTCGGGCGTGTGGCCAGAGACATGGGGACAGTCTCCCCTATCCACGCGGGAACAAATCGTCCGAGTGGGCCTAGCCAGAACGACTGTCGCTGTCATCGATAGCGGCGGGGCGAAAGCCTTCGAAGTACCGGATAGTGGCAGGCGAAGCGGGACCCGATAGCCGGATCAAAAGGGGCCTAAGATGGCGCCCCCACAGGATCGTCGAACGCCCTCCGTACTAAGACCCGCCTAGCCGGGAGCGAGGGACGGGATACCTGGCGGGACGGACTGAATGCCCGGTCTCCTCGGAACCGGGACGGACGGAAAGTCTCGCGGGGCGAATTGGGTGCCCTCGCTCCCTATGAACAAATTCTTGCCTAGACCGAGAGCTCGAACTAGAGGGGCCAGACCACCCGTCGAGCGAAGCACGTGCACGTATTCAGCCGGATCGGGGCTTGATAGGAGAGAGGCACCGGCAGAAACGGCAATCTGTCGATAAAGATCAAAACCGTACGCACTATAAAGGGGTCGTCGCGGTACACACAGCGGTGCCCCGATCGACCTGCTTGCGGACAAGGCAGTTGCGAGGGCCTGAACGCCGGGTTCAAACCTTGTACCACGGGACTCGGAGTAAGCCCTGTCGAGTCGGCTTGCTAATAGCGCCTCGACGCTCCGAGGGTGCTGGACTCGAGGCGCACGACCGCGTGGACTCACCGAGGACTCGCGCTCGCCCGCACCGGGGAAGGCACACTTGAGGAAGGACTCGTGGTGGTTGTGGGAGTACCGCCTTAGTAGAAAGGGTTTGACTCAGGCGATAATCCGTCGAGCTCTGGTCGCGGCGGTCACTCATTATGGTGCCCGAGGTGAGGCGGCGCCCCGGGTAGGACCCCCGGAGCCATCCGTGACTACTGCCCGTAAGAGACAACCCCGCGGTTACATAAAGGGGCTGAGTGTCTCCGGGGCAACCCGGAAGAACTGGTCGACCCCGCAACACACGGAAAGATTCTCTATCATTTAAAAAAAATTTCAGCCAAATCGGTTCAGTAGTTTTCTTGGTTAGCGCGGTCTAAGAAAAACCCTTACAATTTTATATATAGTATAGATAGATAGATTGTAAAATGATCATCCTACAAGCACAAAAAAGAGGTTTCACTTAAATTGTACCAAAAAGTATAATTGCCAAACTATCATGATTATGGTCAAATTAACATTTTTTCCAGACTATAAAATTACAGAGAATACATGTCTAAATGAAGAATTAAAAAAGAGGTACAAACAATTAATGTTAATTACTAGATATTTAATGTGAATACATGTAATTAAAATTTTATGCAGGTACTAACCAACATAAAAAATGATATAAATACAGGTAAAAATATATGTATGAAAGACAAATATTTGTTACTTGTTTCATTGCCATCCGTTCATAATCATCCAGTAGAAACATCTCTTTTAAACTTGCCCATTGATAAATCTGTGTTGCAAGAAATATCACGGTTAGTGAACAATGGATTGTCTAATGTTAAAATTGTTCAGTCTATGTTAAAAGATTTTATAGATAGATCATGTTCAACGTCAACACCTTCAAACTTATCACGAGCATTTTTCCCTGATCAGAGAACAATAAGAAATTTTATAATAAAATTTACATAAGAAAAACATCAGAGTAAAATTGATCAGAATGCTCTTAGGATTAAAATTGAACAGTGGAAAAAATCTCAACCAAACGACAATTTTTACTTCCAACCATACAGTGAAGTAGATGGAGTTGTTACACCATTAATGTTTTGTCAACAAACAGAATGGCAAAAATATTTATTAGATCTATATGGCAGTGTATGCTTTCTGGATGCAACTTATAAAACCACAAAATATGCTCTTCCTTTATTTGTCCTAGTAATGAAAACCAATGTCAACTATTGTGTTGTAGCATTTTTTTGTATACAGTACAAAGATTCAAAATCTATTGAAGAAGCATTAAAAGTAATTAAATCTTGGAATTGTACATGGTTTCCTCAATATTTTGTAACAAATTATTGTGAAGCAGAGTATAATGCAATTACCAAAATATTCAATTGTCCAAGTTATATATGTGATTTTCATGAGAACAAGCTTGGTTATGATGGACAAATAAGCTAGATAATCTCAGTGTTAAAGATTATCGAGGTGAACTTTTGGCTATTTGGAAGAACATTGCTGATAGTAGAGAAAATGAAGTTGACTGAAGTATGGCTGAAGAATCCAAAGGCACAGGAATACTTCATCAAAACTTGGTTTCCTGTTGAAGAAAAATGGACAAATAAATTTTTTAAATTAGAATATGACATAAAAGTTGCCACAAATAATGGGGTAGAATCTCAAAATAAACTTTTAAAGAGTTTTTATTTAAAAATGCAGAGTGACAAGTCTTTAAATAGTATATTAGAAAATATAATTGAACAGTTTTTACCACAAAGTTTAAGTAAATATCAAATAAAATACCTTCATTTTTACACGGACGACCAGAAGCACTTGTTAAACATGTATATTCACAATATGCTACAGCTCAGAATATCTATAATGAAAAAAAAAATTAAAAAATTAGAGATGGATAAATTATTGTTCGAAGTAAAGAGTGAAAGTGACTCTTCCTCATATATAGTAAATTTTCAATTACCCAGTTTACATGTTAAGATTTTAAAAAATATCATTGGCCATGTAAACATGTGTGTGCATTATTTATTTATGTACCAGGATGTTCGTTTGAAGATTTACCACAAAAATTTCAAAATAATGTTTTCATATCATCTGATCCTCGGTATTCAATTACTTATAATACAGATCATGAAATTAAAATTCAAAACAGTGTTACAGTTTTAAATGAAAATGCCATTACCTCTATTAATCCAAATTCGAGGACCAATGAAAATATTTTAAATATACCAGCTCAATGTCGAGAATAACTTAAGAAAATGATTGATTTAACTTATATCATAGACGAAAAACAACATCCAGAATTGTCAAAAGAAGTAGATACTTTAAATAATGTCCATAATAAAATGAGTGAAATGGTTATAAAGCAAAATGGTTTAATACTGCTACCTAAAAAACGTAGTTCAACAGTATTATTAGATTTACCGAAAACCCATAAAAGACCTAAGACCTAAATCAAAAGACTAATTAAACCTAACCTAATTTGTATTTATTATTGTGATTTTTTATTTTATATTTATATTATACTTAATTGAGTTAATTAACGAATTAGAACCACTGAGAACTAAGATTATAATTATAATTATAGTATTATATTTATGTTGGTGACACTATCATATTATTGTGATAACATTTTGGTGCTGTAATCGACTGTATTTATAACGATCCTATTGTATTGTGTGTAGTTCTTTATCTCATGTGCCAATCGTGTCTCTGACTCTGTACACCGCGCTCCCCTTCCACCTTGTACGACTCTTCACGGTGTTAAGAGGACGTTATACCATTGATTATAGAATAGACAGATAGGCAATGTAATGTTAATATTTGGTGACCATTCATATGATGCAGCCACTATGGAGTGCTAGTGCAGAAAATGATGCAACCGCTAAACAAACTAGTGTAGAAATGATGCAAAGGTGGTGTACCCTCTCATAGGTAGGTAAGCAAAGCGGAGGGTGTCCAGATTCTATAGTAAGCGACACGAAAAGTGGCCGATGACCGTCGCGATCCTAGCGGCCATTTCGCCTCAGTGGTTCATAATGTAATTAAATTAATTATCACGTTTTTTTGAATTAATTATTTTTAACTGCAACCCCGGTGACGGGCAGGTGATGGTGTAGGTTGAGAACCAATGGCTAACAGGTAGGGAAGCCACAACGGGTCGCGGTACAAATTGGCCACTTTTCGTGTCGCGGAGTATAGGTGGTGGTATCACTACCATAGTATGGTGAGGAAGAGCGAGGGTACAATAGTTGTCGTTCTAAAAATAGAATATATTATTTCATAATTCGTTATCGCATATCCGATATCATTAAATATCCAATTGACTGCTATTTTGTGTTTACTGTTTAGTCGTTTCTTGTTTGTGAGAGACAATTTTTGGATTACCAACTCTTACTGTGATCTATGAGATCAGTCTTTTATACAAAAAATAATTTTTATTGTTTTGAGTATAAAATTATTTGAAAATGTCTGGCAATAAATGTCAGTATGTGAATTGTGGCAAGTGGAGGAATTTGTTTCCTAATTTACGACTTTATCGTTTTCCAAACGACGAGAGAAGAGAAGTTTGGATGATAAATTCGGGTAAATAATATTTGATTTATCTTCACAGGAAACACAAGTCTATTTTCGATTAAACCCGAAAAATTGCATAATAGGTACATTTGTCAAGAGCATTTCCCACCTGAAAGTTTTACAAATTTTTCTAATAAAAACCGTTTAACTAACACTGCTATTCCCTATTATTATAATAATAAAACTGAGCAACAGCTATGTACATCTTTAAACTTAAATGGAAATCATAAGCCTGAACAAGAATTTATTTAAATATCAACTCCAACTAAAACATATACACATTCAAAATCAAATATGGTAGAGTTAGTTTTCTCAAGTCCCCTTTCTTTACTTTCTTCTACACAAAAAGCTAAAATAACAAATATTATACACATGTCTAGCCCCAATTTAAGAAGAAAACTTGATTCAATTGAAATAGATACTCATAGAAAATTGAATTTAAAGCAAAAATTACAACAAAAAAATAAAATAATTCATAATAGTTCATATTTCAAAATTAAAAAAAAAAAATAATCTTAGTACTCGTTATAATTTTAAAAATTTAATAAATATGCATAATTTTTCTTCTATAAACTCTAAGGTAATAGTGACTATGTAATTAAGAGATAAGCGTCGTCCGTAGACATTAAATGAAAAACAATTAGCTTTAAATTTATATTATAAATCTCCAGCAGCATATACATTTTTACGTTCTCAGAAAGTAAATTTACCAGGACCATCTACTATTTTTTATTGGATTGGTCAATCAAAGTTTTTACCATGTTTTAGTAAATTATTTTTTAGTCATCTTCAAAAAAAATTTAAGTCATCTGATTATAAAGAAAAAGTGTGCTCTGTTTGTTTTGATGAGATGTATATAAAAGAATTTGTAGGATATTCAAAAGAATTTGATTATATTAAAGGTTTTGAGGACTTGGGTCATTATGGAAGGATCAATAAAAGTGCCAACTATGTTCTAGTATTTATAGCCAAAGGTATTTATTCTCAGTGGAAAATTCCTATTGTATATATTCTTTCTCATTCTGGAGTAAGCAAAAACATTTTAAAAAAACTAATACAAGATGTTCTTAAAAAATTATTTGAAGTTAGATTGTGTCCAAAAATTATAGTATGTGATCAAGGCACAAACAATCAAAGTACTTTAAAATCATTAAATGTTTCTAAAGATAGGCCTTATTTTTTTATTGATAACAATAAAATATTTTCTTTATTTGATGTGCCACATTTACTTAAAAGTGTTAGAAATAATTTAATTGAAGCTTCTTTTATAAATGGTGATGGCAATATAATTTCATTTGATGACATAAAGAAAAACTTATGAGTTAGATAAAAAAAATCTCAAGAGTAGATGTCTCGTCAAAAAACAGATGCACATATTTATCCAAATTCTTTTCAAAAATGAATGTTAAATTAGCAGCACAATTATTGAGCCATTCTATGTCAGCAACGATCCGAACTTGTATACAAACTGGACAACTTCAAAGTAACACTTCTTTAAATACTGCAGATTTAATTGAATTTATCAATCGTTTATTCGATTGTCTTAGTAGCAGATCTTTATATAGCCAAAATCCATATCTATGTGCATTAACTGAATCAGGTACTGTACACTATTTCTTAAAAAAAAGCCAGAATATTTTACAAATTTTCAAAAATTAAAAAAAAGAAAATTAACTCAACCTCCTTGTTTTAAAGGTTTCACACAGACAATTAATGATGTGTTGCAATTTTTCGAAGAAGACAAAGCTCATAACATTGTAATTTTAATGACTAATAGATTAAATCAGAATATATTAGAAAATCTATTTAGTATTTTTCGACAAATGGGTGGTTATAATAAAAATCCAACAGCCAGAACAATTAGGACTTCTATAAGTAATAGTATTTTTTCTTTATGTACATCTAAAGGTACAAATTGTAAGGCAACCATAGGAGATGAAAATCCTATAATATTTGACACGGTGAAATATCAAAATAAAATAGATTCTAACAATTCAACATTGTCTTCTTATTCTGACACAGAAAGTATTTATTTTCTAATTTATCTTTCCCTCTCACATATCATCTGATGAGGATTCTATTAATGAAAATATAAATAATGGTGTTACTTTGGAAGATTGTTCTGTTTCATACTTTGCAGGATATTTAGGTTATAAATGTATGAAAAAATTTAACTGTGACAACTGTCAAAATTAATTATTTGTCAATAAAAACTTAAATGATAAAAAACAGTTGCATCTACTTAATAAAAATTATACTTCAATTGAAAATGAAAATGGGCTTAAAGCACCATCAAATAGTTTTAACAATGTAGTAAATAAAATTTTAAATATTTTTGAAAACAATTATAAAAGCTATTTACATTAAAAAAAATAAAATTTCAACTAATTGAGCGCGTAAAAAATAATAACATAGTTAAAAAATGGCTTGATTAATCATTAACAAACTACATAGATCATAAAATGTACATAATTGAACAACTCTTAATTTGCAAAATATTTAATAAAACAAAATTATTTTCAACTACTTCAAAATTAGCAAAACTTTCAAAATTAAAAATATTAAACCATATTTATTTAAATTAAATAAATGTTTTCTTGTTCTGGCATTGTACCTATTTGCATAAAACAATAGAAGCAGTATTAATTGTCCTCTATAGGACTCACAATTAATAGTTCTTTTCAGAACTTTGTGTTGATTCTATTAAACAGTTCTTTTTAGGACTAATTACTTCAATTTTATAAAACGGTTCTTTTCAGAACTAATAAACATCACAATTTAATATTATTCTAAATTAATTTATTAATTTTAAATCCAGACTCCAATGTAATGTAATTTTGGTCTATCTTTACTCGCAATCGTTTTTCATAATATACAGATTTATTGTTAGTTTCTAAATTTAACATATTCAATATGTACCTACTCAATATTAAAATACAACTGCATTATATTATTTATAAATAATAATAATAATATTTCATTAATTGTATTATTTATGTTATTGCGATTTTATTCTTTTAAAATTTGAACATAAAATAATTTATGTTATTTTATAAAAAACTATGATATGGATAAAAATTTGCTGTATTGTTAAAATTTGGTAAATTTTGTGTAGTGTATAATGTAAATTGTAATACAATACTTTTTTAAAAAGCAAATTTTACTGAATCTTAGCATTGCAAAATAAATTAATTTTTCGTAATAAAATAAATAATTACTTTTTGGTCGCGTACAACACAACGTAATAACGCAGAATATGAAAAAAATTAACAATAATTTTGCAATATTGTGGTGAATGGTGATAGTGCGATGCACGGAAAATATCATTTATCTACGATAAAGTAATTTATAAGCTTATCGCTTTTTCTGTCATTGCCAAAAACCGGTCTAAGAATATGTTATTACTACTTGCCGTCAGTACTCAGTATTAATAATATAATATTAATTCATACAACGCTACCCATTGGCAGCTATTATAAATAAAATTTTAGTCACCGAAAATCCCTATACCATTGTCTATCTGTCTATTCTATAATCAATGGTTTAAGTAACGCCCACTGCTCCCAGCCGACTCGGTGCATGCTCGTTCGGGACCGAGAGCGTCGCAGTGTTGCCAGACGTGGGGATTTTTCCTCACTTTGGGGAATTTGAACGCTATATTTTGGATTTGAGGAAAATGTTGGGGATTTGTATTACTTGAAGAAAATGTGGGGATTTCAGGTCAAATTAAATATTATATTTGAATTTACAAAAATATAAAAATGTGGAAGATAATTCATATTTAATAATTATTTACGTAATATGAATGATACACAAAAATAGTCATTGAATACATATAATATACCATAGTGTAATTAATAATATAATTAAATATAGATAATAAAAAACTATAAATACATTTATTATCCGATATTCGTAATTTCGTTAATGTTTGATTTTAATAGATTGATTTGTTAGTTATAGTTCGTGAATCGTGATTCGTGTATTGTGCGTCATTGACCATTGTTCTTTTATCGTTTCTTCTATTTCTTGTTGTTTAATATAACGTACATCGCGTGCCAAGTAACTTTGAAATTAAAATTTAACACAATACCTAAGTATGTCTGATATAAGCAGTTCCGAGGAGGGAAAGTTTATGAAAAATCAAACTAAAGCACCTAAACGAAAATTTACTCACCGATTTAGAAGTGATTGGCTGAATGATGATGACCTAAAACCATGGTTGATGAAGAGTATAAAAGGTGATACTTATTTTAACTGTAAATTTTGTAAAATTGATTTAATGGGTGGTATTTCTGCGGTTAAAAAACACGGAAAAAGTGATAAACACGTTCAATTAATCCGTTCGAGAAAAAACACAATGGAGATTAATAAGATGACAACAGTTCAAAATGCTTCAAAGCTTGTTAAAAAAACCAAAGAGGCAGAAATTCGGTTGTCAATGTTTATAGTCGAACACAACATTGCAATACGAACAGTTGATCATCTGGTTTCATTAATAAAAATAATCGGTGAAGATTCTGACGTTATAAAAAATCTTAAATGCAATCGAACAAAAGCAACGTCAGTGGTTTGCAATGTGATTGGAGAATGTGGTATGCAAAATCTTATTCAAAGGATGAAGAACCAAATGTTTTCAATCATGATTGATGAGTCGACCGACAAATCTAGTGTTAAACATTTGGCCATAGTTACCCGTATAGTGGATACTGACAGCTACGAAGTCAGAGATGAATTCGCTGGACTTATTAAAGTAAACAATGCAACAGCTCAATCTATCTTTGAAACAGTTATTAATTTTTTTAAAAGTTACGATATTCCATATAAGTCAAATCTAGTTGGTTTTGCTTCAGATGGAGCCAATGTTATGTTTGGAGAACACCATTCAGTGAAAACATTATTAGAAAATGAAGTACCCTCCATATTTGTAATTAAATGTCTATGTCATTCATTAGCTTTATGTGCATCATATGCATGTAAAAAAATCCCCATTGAAGTTGAAGAATTAATGCGTGAAATTTACACATATATGAAGTATAGTTACAAACGTCAGACACATTTTGAAGAATTTCAGAGTTTTGTAGAGGTTAAACCTCACAAACTTTTACAACCTAGTCAAACCAGATGGTTGTCGCTTTATGTCTGTGTTAAACGAGTACTTGAACAATGGAATGCACTCAAGTTATATTTTCAGGGTGAACATTTGATTGACAACCATGCTAAAAATATCCATATAAAATTGATTAATCCAATATATCATTTTTATTTAAAATTTCTTGAGTTTGTCTTACCAATTTTTACCAATTTGAATCTTGAATTTCAATCACAAAAACCAAAAATTCACCAAATTTATAATAAAATGAGTGCAGCGTATAGAACATTACTCGACTGTTATATTAAGCCAGATTACTTGAAAAAACATGATATTTCTGAAATACAATATCGAAATCCAATTCATTATCTTCCAAATGATCAAATATATTTAGGAGGAAAATGTATGACTGATCTTTCAAACAATATTATTAAAAATAATGAAAAAGATGTATGTATAAATAATTGCCTTAATTTTTATATTGAAGGGGCTCATCAGTTTTATAAACGATTTCCGTTTAACTCCAGTTATATCAAATCATTGAAAGCATTAAGTTTCTTGAACCCAAATAACATATCCAATATAGTATCAATTGCTCCAGCTGCTACACATTTTGAATTAATATTAAATATGGATTTAAACGATTTGGATAGGGAGTGGCGGTTACTAAAAAACAGTGTCGAAGACTACAATAATGAAACAATTGCATTTTGGAAAACGGTTAAAGACATGAAAAAAGGTGATGACAGTGAGTTATTCCCCTTATTAAATAAATTTATTAAATTTATTTTAACATTGCCACATAGCAGCGCTGCTACTGAGAGAGTTTTTAGCACAATAAATCTAAATAAAACCAAAACCAGAAATAGGCTAGAAACCGAAACTTTGAGCGGAATGCTCAACTCCAAAAATATACTTAACTTTCAAAAAAAATCATGTTATAATTTTGAAATAAATGAAGAAATGATCAAATGAAGGAATTATCAAATATTACCTATGTTTAATATTATTAATTTTTTATTTACTATTTTTATTACCTACTTTATTAGTTTATTGATTAATTTATACATTTAATTGTTATATTGTTAAAATAAGGAAGCTCCTAAATTGTTTTATATACTTCATTATGTTTTAATATATTAATCTATACATATATTATTACCTATTTATTTGTTTTGTTATTATTATGATTTGTTTGGTTTCATTGTTGGATCGAGGAAGCTCCTAAATTGCTTTATAAACTTTATTAAGTTATAATATATAAATTATAATCGTACATTGTCAATTGTTTATTATTTTAATACATACTTTAATTTAAAATTAATTAAAAAGTATAATATGAACTATGAAATGATGACAGAATGTTGATGAACTGGATAGTAAAATTAGTAGCAATGTTGCATTGTTAGATTGTAGCACAATTGATTATGGTATCAATAAACAATTTCGTCTTATCATGTCTATATAACATTATAATTATAAGGAAGGTGTGGGACAAGAGTATATAAACATGCGAGTACAAAAAAAAAAGTGGGGATTTTTCGAAACTTTTTGATGATATAATCGAAACTATTCATATTTAGACGCGGCAACACTGGAGCGTCGTTTATTATGATATGAACATTCGTCTTAAGGTACGTTTTCTCTGCAGCGATCAGCCGCGGCGTCCAAACGCGGCGTCGAACGCTGTACTATTGTACTAAGTATTTTGAATGTGACCGTTTTCTTATACGCGTTCGTCGCTGCGTCTAGAACATTTGACGCGGCGTCTGGCGACAGCACTGGTCTCGGACCAGTATACCGCGTCGAACGCCAGCGACAACATGTCCAAAAAGTTTATTTTTTCCGCTGCAGAGGACGAAATCCTCATAGAGGAAATTCAAAAAAATAAAGTTATTTATGATAGTTCAGATAAAAACCATAAAGATAAAATTATGAAAGATTCCTTATGGTCGGAAATTGGGATAAAGCTCAATAGAAATAGTAAGTACAAAATATATGTATAAATTAATCATTTATAATAATATTATATTATTATATTATTATATAGCCATAGGTATTAATATTATTTCGTTATTATAATATATATATATTTTTTTAATTATAGTTGATGACTGTAAGAAAAGGTGGAAAAACATGCGTGACACATACATGCGACAAAAAAAAAAAATTGCCTACTGGGTCGGCGACTTCAGACAAAAAAAAATGGCCTTTGATGGACTATCTATCGTTTTTGGATACGGTTGAATATGAAAGACAGTATGTAAAAAGTAGAAACTAGCTAGATACATTTATTTTAAATTACCTATATTATAATATTAAAAATATTATTTTAGAACTTGTACAAATGTTGAAACGCAAGAAACGACGACAGAACAAAATATTATGTCCAACGATTTATTCAGAGACGAAGAAGACATCGTGGACGTGGAGAATGAAAGCTGTAACAGTGAAACCGAAGTATTGAATTTACCAGCAATTTCATTTGGAGGGAAACGATTACGGTCTAAAGACGATAAATTATCAGCAATATTAGCCAAGAGATCTAAAGAAAGAAATGAAATGTTATCAAATATCCAGGCACAAAATAATTTATTAGCATCGCTGGACCAAAAAGAGGACGAAGTCGACGTTTTTTTTAAAAGTATTGCCATGACCGTCAAAAAACTCCCTTCGCGAGCAATCAACGAAGCTAAGCTGCGAATACTGACAATGGTGAATGAGATTGAAGAAAAATATGTGGTTCCTGATCATACTAAAACCATTCAACCTAATTATGTTCTGCCTTTAAATAGCAACAACATGGCACAGTGGTTATCACCAGCCAACTCGTACACCACTGCTGCGTCGAGTTCTTCATCTGGATATATGCAATACAATAATGATAGTAACAGCATGCCACAGTGTCCATCGCCGGCCAACTCATCCAACACTGCTGCATCAAGTTCTTCGTGTGGATTTATACAATATAACCGCGATGAATATAATTAGGCCTACATATTATATTTGTTTGTTGTATACTTATTATATTTAAGTACATTTTATATTTTATAAATTAATATTAAAGGTTATTTTGGTTATTTTTAATTATTATTATTTGTTTTGATTTTATTTAACTTGTGAGTTTAAAAATAAAACCTAAATTCAAGAACATTTTGATTATTTTTGTTTTTGATATTTATTAGATAACCAACTGGCAACTACTATAAATAAATGAACACAGTACACACAATATTATCGTAATATTAATAATAATGGTATATTAATACAAAACATGTATAATTATTTACATTTGCCATGGTACAGCTCCTATATTAGCAAAATAATCTTTAAAAATATCTCTTACTGTAACTCCTTCCGTATTTATAAATCCACTTTCCCCAGAAAATGACCTCATGTTATTTACAGTTGAATATTCCTGATCAAATTGATAGTATGCTTTTCCATTGTGTTCTAAATATGCATCACGTAACATATTGTGTAAACAACATGTAACAATGATTAAATCATCAACTGTTGTTGGAGCAATATTGATTGGCTGATAAAACACTCTGAATACTTGACTTAGTAACCCAAAAGCATTTTCGGTTACTCTTCTAGCACGGCTAAGTCTGTAATTGAAAATCGTTTTGCTGTTATCTCCTCTTGCTGCTTTTTGAGAAAACGGCCTCAAAATATGTTTGTGCAACCTAAATGCCTGATCTCCTAATATAACGTGAGGTGCTATAATATCAGTACCAGGAAGGGCACAATCTTCTGGAAATTTAAATACACCATTTAAAATTTGTTGTCCCATTGTAGACTTTAAAAAAATACCGCTATCTCCTTCTTTTCCATATGACCCGACATCGATTGCTACAAATTTGTAATTTGCATCAACCATCGCCAATAAAACAGTTGAAAAATAATCTTTGTGATTAAAAAACAAAGAACCTGAATTATTAGGACAACGGATTCTTACATGCTTTCCATCAATTGCGAGAATGCAATTAGGAAAGTTCCACTTTGTCCAAAATTCATCTGCCTTAGTTTTAAAATCAACCATAGTTGGATCTGGTAAAAAAATTGGCATTAAATTTTGTTTTAAAACTGTCAATGTTTCCTTTACTATTATACTGATATAACTGTAGGATATACGAAATGCAAATGCCAATAAACGAAAAGATTCCCCGGTGGCTAGATATCTACAAAAAAAAAAATTATAAAAAAGTGGGTAAGTGAGTGTCGCTTTGCTGTACAATACGTTACAAGTCACTATAATGGATGGTATAACATTTTAATTCAATAATAAAATTTGTAAATTTCTAATTTGATAAATGTTATCATAATTTAAACTTTAAGTGCTTAATAAGAATCTTGCTAATCTATTTTTAAACTTATATTGTAACAATGCTTATATTTACCTTAAAGTAACTGCCAATTTTTCTTCGGGTGTTATTGGTTCATGCCATCGCATTGTTGGTGTCTTTTGTATTTGATTTTTTATCAAAGACAAAACAAAATCAAATTGTCGGCGATTTAAACGAAAAAACTCGCGAAATTTAATATTATCGGTAGCAAGATGGCCTTTGATTAATTTTTCGAAAAATCCTTCTGATTTTCTTGTCGAAAATAAATTTGATATTGGTTTCCTTTTTTTATTTTTTTTATTCATTAACAATTGATCATCTTCTTCTTCCTCTCTCAATAACTCCAATATAATTTTATTATTGTTTAGCATTATTTGACGATGCATTTTTTTTCAATTTAATTATTATAAAATTATAAAAAAAAAGGAAAACACATTCGCACAGGACGACAGTTTAACTATGAATGATATCGTGATTGTTTTGTAGGAATCGCGGCGACTGCGCGCTGTAGAGAAAACGGTCGAGTCGCGGCGTTTGGACGCCGCGTTTGATTGCGTCTGGACACCACGTTTGGACGCCGCGGCTGATCGCTGCAGAGAAAACGTACCTTTAGACGTTACGCGTCATAATACAATTTATACGTGGAAATGCGGCCGTCGTATTTCTAATACCCGCGCGTACCTATGACTTAACGATTATAATGTTAGTCACTGCCCACCTAAATATATGTACCAATATATAGAACATAGAAACTGTATTATAACATAGCTTGATTTGTATTTATTGAATAATTACTTATTCAAATATAATACTTATAAAAATAAATATATCACAATTAAAATATAATCATCAATATCGATAATTTACGATCAACTTTACTTAACTAAATTAGTGTGATAAATAATAATTGATAATAATATATTTTCAACTTAAATATACATTTTATATAATACCTATAGCTTGATTTGCATTTAATATTTATAGTCTAATAACCTAAAATATGAAATATAAAATATTATTAGATTTTTAGATAATAGGTAATATTGATAGTCGTTTCACTTAATATAATTATAATTCATAACATTTTTTATTTTAATACCTACAACCTACCGAAGGTAATGATAACATCTTATCGATGAATATTTTTCGCTGAGTAAAAAGCTGAAAAATGTAAAACAACTAAAACAAGGTTTGAAGGATATTATAAAAAAAATATTTATCATAATATTTAAACCATTCTTTTCACTTTATTTGTTGTCACTTTTGTAATAAATAATATATTAAAATAATTTCTTTTTAACCACTTTTTTTATGGTATTTTTTTTTTTGGCTCTCGGATGTCAGACAACATTAGTCGATGTTTATACAGCAGACCAACTATTTCCGGAAGTAAACACTGTAAATAAAATATGTACATGTAAATTAATATTTACATATGTATTGTTTTCATTTATCGTATTAGTTATTATATTATGTTTAAAGAAATTGCATATACGCAATATACGCATAAACGATATAATATTATAACACAATATAATCAGGGGCGGATTGGGCCACCGGGAATTCGGGAGTTTTCCCGGTGGGCCGCTTCTTCAAATAATTATTTATTTTTAAATGTTGTGCCAAAAATGTATTTTGAAAATTTGAATTATACCTACATCTTTTCTACTTGTGGTGGTCCGAGTCGAAATCGCTATTGGTTCTCCAATTTGGACATTTACCACGGTAGTGACTAGTGATAAGTTATTACGACCGTGATAACACAAAACAAAATACTACCACAGAATAGATAAATGGATAGTATTATCGCTTTACAAAGTCACCAAATAATAAATTGGCGGGCACTTCTTCGGAACTGGGAAAAAGTATGATAATTTAACATTTGTCTAGCTGTGATAAGGATAACTGATACTGTGTTTTTAATTTATTATGTTTCTCAGTTTCTGAATTTCTGTGCATTGTTAATAATAATTAAATTATAATTTATTATACAATTATATTATAAGTTATTCATCGTTATTCGTTTTCCATCATGTCCGAACCCGAAGTCAGTAAAAAACGCAAAGGTGGCGCAGAAAAAGTGCGAATAAAGAAACAGATTATGTTAAAAAATGAAGCGAAAAACTGTTCAAATATTTTAAACATGTTTTCCAAATCTAAGGTAAGGATAAATTTTATATTTGTTTCATATTTTGTACATTAGTATTTCCTTGACATTTTAAAATTCTATGCAGTGCACTTAACTCTTGATATAATACAATTGCTTAATGCTTTGGTTTGCTTTGCTTTGCTTATGATTATAGGATAAAAGTAATATTATAAGAAGTATAAGTACTATGAATGATACTGATCAAGATATTTTATGTAGTACAGAAACAGAATTGACAGGAAATGTAGATAAAAATGTAACTGAAATAGATACTCCTATATGTACTATTCTTGAATCAAGTAGTACTCCTAGCAATTATAATTACTTTCAAAAACCAATTACCACAAAGTTAGAACAATTTTTTGAATTTCACCCAATACAACCAGTGATTGTTCATCAATTTAAATCTCTTAAGGCTTTTTATGGAAAAAATAACATTCAACGCCGTTGGCTATCTTATGACACAACATCTAAATCATTATACTGTAGTGTGTGTTTAGCATTTTCATCAGAAAAAAATGTATTCATTGAAGGTTTAAATGTTTGGAGTCACGTTTACCAAAGAATTCATGAACATGAAACTAGTAAATGTCACATATTATGTTCAGAGTCATTTTTAAACTATTCAAACAAAAAAACTATTGATTATAGATTATTTACTGACCAATTGTCCAAGAAAAAAAGTGAAGTCACCAAAAATCTTAACATTGTTGAACGTGTAATTGATGTAATTAAATTAATTGGCAAAAGAGGGCTGAGCTTTAGAGGTCATTTGAATGAATGTTCAAGAAGTTTAAAAGATCCTGCTATTGATCATGGAAATTTTTTGGATATTCTTTTACTCTTGAAAAAATATGATGTTGTTTTAAATGATCATATTGAAAAAATTACTGAGGATGCAATAAGAAACCATGAACGTGGAAAAGGTAAAGGAAGAGGATCATCGTTAACGTTTATTTCTAAAACTACAGTTAACATGATTATTGATTCAATTAACATTTTAATGAAGAAATCAATAGCAAAGGATGTTAGAGAATCAGGAATGTTTTCGATACAACTAGATACAACTCAGGATATTTCTGTGCAAGATCAATGTTCTGTTGTAGTAAGGTATGTAAATTCAAAAGGTATTCAAGAAAGGTTATTATCAGTTGTAACCATACAAAAATCAACTGGTAAAAGTTTTGCTGATATGTTGGCTAATATTCTTACTGAAAATGACTTGGATGTTAAGAAGTGTGTTGGTAATGCTACGGATGGTGCTGCCAATATGCAAGGGCAATTTAATGGGTTTTCAGCTTGGCTTGAAAAATTGTCTCCTAATCAAGTCCACATTTGGTGTTATGCCCACATATTAAATTTAGTTGTCATAGAGTCTACAAAATCCCCACTCAATGCAGCAGCTTTATTTGTAACATTGAACGATGTAGCTATATTTTTTAAGGAATCATACAAGCGAATGAATATTTGGGTCAACATAATGGAGACAAATGATAAAAGAAGATTGCAAGCAATTGGTAACACACGATGGTGGTCCAAGGAAAAAGCTCTAACACATATTTTTGGTGATGAAGGTTTATATTTTGAGGTTATTTTGGCTCTAAATACAATAGAAAACTTAAATGAATTTACACCTGAAGCAAAGTTAAAAGCTAATAATTTAAAAAAATCATTTTTATCTTATTCAACAATTTTAACTGCATTTACTTATGTACGGATTTTTAATATAATTAGCCCATTATCCAAGTATCTTCAAACAAAGGGCATGGACTTGCTGAAGTGTCAAGGAATGGTTAGTGGAGCAATTACTAATTTAAAACAAATTCAGAGGGACTTCAATGGAGTTAAAAAAATTTCGAAAAAGTTTATAGATATTATGTCAGAAAAATTAGAACAGTCACAAATAGCTGATGATGTAGATATTGAAAATGAATTGCCCTCTATAAGATCTAGAAAACGTAAAGCATTAGATGGAGAAGAAACATATGATAATCAAATTATGAACAGTGAAACAAAGTATATGATTGAAGTACATAATGTCATAATGGACAATACTATCACAAGCATTGAGAAAAAGTTTTTAGGAAATAAAAAAATGTACACTGATTTTGCTTGTTTATCGCCAAGTTATTTTGAGGATTTACAAAAAAATAATCTTCCAGCCACTGCATTATATGAGCTCACTAGTAAAATTAAACCTTTTGAACAAACAATAACTACTGATGGCTTAAAAAGTGAACTACTTAGTTTCTCCAGAAATTGGAGCAACTTAAAAAAATCTATTCCAGAAACGTATGAAGCTTACAAAAATGTTGAATCAGATGATGGTGATTTGTTTGATAATGAAATAAGTACTGAAAAATCACACTGCAAGACTTGTATGAATTGTGCAATCTGTTGCTACTCTGTACTACAAAAATACAACTTATATTGTAATGCTTATAGCAACTTAGCATTAGCTTATAAATATCTGCTAACCTTGCCATGCTCACAGGTACATAATATTTTTAACTTTACATTTTACTATAATATTGGATACTACAAAGTTTATTTGATATGTTTTATTTATTGTACAGGTAGCTTGTGAAAGGTCTTTTTCTTTCCTGAAATGTATAAAGACTAGACTTCGTAGCACATTAAGTGAAAATAAATTAGAAGCATTTATGCTTATGGGAATAGAAAAAGACATCCTCTATGAAATAGACAACCATGAAGTTATTGAGTTACTAAAGTCTAAAAGCACATTACTGAAGAACAAATTGTCTTACTAAATATGTGTATAAATTAAAGTAATAATTAAAAAAATTATTATTTTTATGTTTTTAGGTACTTAACAAGAAAATACACAAAGAACTGTAAGAAAAAAAAAATTAAAAAATGTTGGTTTTGAAGTAAACAAATAGTTTTTATTTTTATTTTAATTAACTTATATTTTTAAAATATACATACAATAAAATATAAGTCTACTCCTTTATGCCTGAGCTTGTGATTGGGAATTAAGTGTTATAGCATGCAAGTTCAATTACACAAAAAAAAACCGGTTTTTTTCTCAAATATCAAATATTATATACAGAACTTAATAGAGTATAATATCTTCCAGAATATTAAAAAAATTGTGTAGTTATGTTAAAATAAACTAAATAATAATAGATGTTGGCTAAAATTCAATAAGTGATAAATTAATAAGTGGGCCGGTATTTTTGTATTTTCCCGGGCCAAAATTTCTCCCCAATCCGCCCTTGATATAATATGTATTAGTTATTATAACTTCGTTAATTTAAATTAATATTATTGATTGTTTATTTTTTATAATACTTACGTTTTTAATTTATCTACCATATTTGATAACCAAAAATCGGGATCGTAATAAATTTCCTGAATTGATACCCATTTTGGCGCATATATGATAAAATAACACATATTACTATGAGTTATGTGAAGTGGCCCCTGAATTTGATAATAGTAATCGTGTATTTTTTTTTTAATTTAAGTTTATCATTTTCAATGGTGCAATATTTGATCTATAAATACAACATAGAAATAATTAAAGAAATTAAATACATTTGTTTTCTATAATTCTACTAACTATACGTGTTTCGACTGCTTCGTGTATATTTAATGTGTCTTTCGCTGCATAAGGTGCTTTGATTTCAATAATTTTACCATCATTAGTTATACCATCTAAACAATTTAATGGGAAAATTATTATTTCTATTCATTATTATTCAAAAATTAATTTTAACTTTTGATAGTTGACTTACCGGGACTTGCAGCAAGGTATGGATAATTTTTATCTATAAATAAACCACATGGTTTAATATGAATATCATATAATTTTTCAATATACAGTAGACGCCGCTTATAAGACTCACTTTGGGACTAGCACAAAGTGAGTCTTATAACCGAATGAATCTTATAGGCGAAGTGGAAAAAAAAATTAATTACGTATTTATAAATTTTATTTTACTACATATTTTGCTTTGATTTTAATACAATAACACATATTACATATTACATACTTTATTATTGAATAAATTTAATAATCCCGATGAAAAAAAACTAAAATTATAATAGTTATAATTATCGTTGCGATAAATGTGAACTTTTATGTGTGATAAAAATTATTATACGTTATAAGGTACCAACAGAAACTAGAAATAATCAACACGAATATTATTTAATTTTTCAAAACTAATTTATTTCTAAATTATAACCAAAACAGTTTATTTTCTACTATTTATTTTACGAAATTTGAGTCTTATAACCGAAGTGTTGAGTCTTAAAACCGATTTTTTTTTTAATGTATTTGGATACGTCCGGACCGTTCTAGACGATTTTGAGTCTAATAAGCGACTGAACCTTATATCCGTGAGTCTTATAAGCGTCGTCTACTGTAGTTTTTTGCAATGTTTTCCATATCTCTACCATACTGCACTGATCTATAAAAAAAAAAATGAAAGATAAATGTTTGAATAAATAATTTAATTATTAACTTATTTGCAATTGAAGCTAGAGTACAAAATGGAATATACAGTATTTTTACAACTTGTATTTGTTCGCATTTTACAAATCCGTCCAAAATTACTTGCTGTTAGTCTCCATGTTTCGCTAGTCGCTTGATCTCGTGTCTCTATTTCGATTTGTGTCCTATTAACTTTATTGAGTGTTCTATAATAATAAAAAGGCGGACAAGTGTATACATGCATGTGTAAAATGTTAGGTCAAATTAATTTGCGAACTAATGAGATTTTAATGAAATGTTAAAATATAAAATAGCTCAAAAAGAGTAGAAATATTTAATTAGGTATTTATTTTATGATTTACTTGACAAATGCATCCATTTCATTAATTAATTCGGCATCGTTTATGATTCTTACATTATCCAGCTGTTCAGCATTGCCGTAATTTTTATCAGCCTTCCTGATCTTTTGGCTACTATTTTAGGGATTTTTTTTATTGTTTGTCGTCTTTTTTGGCATAAATTACGTTTATCCAATATTTGTTTCAAAAAAGATTTGTCTATTTTTCCTACAAATAAGAAATGCATATAATATATTTAAAGGACATTTTTGATTATTGGTAAGGAATTACAAATTTTAAATAATTTTATAAATACCTGGGCTAGTTTGTGCTACATGTTTTTTTTATTGTGCGTAAGTACTCGTTTGTGTTGAAACTTATTATTGCCTCTTGTACCCGAGTTGTATATGAACTTTTTTGCGTGAAGTTTATACGTTTACCGCCCAAAAATTTGTTTATTACGCTATTGAATTGTTCGCAAATATTATTATCGACGTCAATTATCAGACTATTTGCGTTATTAGATAGACGAGAAACAATAATATTTATTTCATCGGAAATTTTTTTATATTTATTATCCATATTTGTGTTTTTATAGTTTTCATTATTTTTTTTTACAAAAATATGAAGAACATTTATTGTGGTTATTAAATAACCGATGGTTTGGCGCATTGGTTATATCAAATCGAAGAGCTGAAATATGAAAAATGCATCATTAATCTATTGTTAAGTATGTACTTCAAAATACTAAATTTTAAATTCAACTTAACCTGATATCTTTTGAAGTAGTGGTATATTTTGTGATTTTTGATATTTTATAGCACAAATGATATCGGTTTTTAATCTAATAATATTGTCGGATATTTTTTTCCGGATATCTATTGGCATATCAGATCTTTTAGTTAAGGCCATCATATTTTTAGAATAATTTCTAAGCAAATGATTCCGGCATTCAATTTTTTCCACCCTTAATGCTTGGCCGTAAAGAAGTATATCATTTAGACGTTTTGTTACGCTACTATCCCCATCGCCTAAATCATAAAGGTGTGAACATTAGTTGTATAACGTAATTTTATTTCTAAATTTATTTTAAATCATCAAAAATAAAGATGGTAATGTAATAAAATCAATTCTTAAGCTAAGTATAGGTAAATAGATAATTACCGATCAGTTTAGAAAATTTAACACCATGCATTTCTATGCTTTTTTCAAACCCCTCGGCAATAGCGTCAGCCTCAATACTTGTAGCTCCCTTCTTCCAGGTAAAAAACATACATGTTTAGGTACATCGATATTTTTATGAGACGCTCTTTCACAATTTACACAGTACCGATTTCGAACACCGGCAAATAAAACTTTTTTAGTTTTATAACCAATTATACTTGCCTGCAATAAATACAATAAATGTATTTTTAGATTCTGGGTGAAATGAGGAAACCATTGGTTTTACTATGTGTGTTTTAATTTTTTATAATTTTTTAGTTTAGACTTAAATAACGTAATAAAAATTACAAAAATAAATAGCACAGTGATTTAATATGATAAATAATAATTGCTCTTTTTATTTAATTATGCATATTAATTATTAACTTATTACTCTTGATAATGCATCATATCTCGTGCTGTAACTTCTTTTGTACCACTGTCCGTCTACTACTGTTTCTAATTTTATGATTAATTAATTTAATTTTTTCTTTTTTAATTCTTTCAGCCGCGTCTTCTGACACTTTGTTTTTTCTAATTGAAAATAAAGTTTTTTTAATTCGCTTTTGTTGATATATCCTTGTGTCATTTTATTCTGAAATTAGAGATTTTTTTTTTGTTATTAAAAATACGAATAAAAAATTCGAGTACGAATCAAACATTAAATAAATTATAAGTATGTGTGAATACTAGCATTATATATAAATATATATTCAAAAAAAATATAATTTTGATAAATATATATATATATTAAAAAACCTCCTCTAGTCTGTTTAAATATATTTTTTATTTTTTTTTTTTAAAACTCGGTTTACTATTATGTAATAAAATAATCGACTGTAACTATTAAAAAAATTAAAAGTAATACTTCAATTTAAAAAAAAAAACGTGAGACACTAATCACACTTTATATTAGATATACCTATATCACTTATGGTACTATTCAATTAAATATTAAAAACTTAAAAGCCATAATGTTTTAAAAAAAAATAAAAAAAAAAAAATAGAAACAATAAGTACTTACATATTTGTGTTTGCGAAAAAGGTATCAAATAAATCTGATGTCTGCTATTGCGGTCCGCTGCATTCACTTGTGTTCACTTGAGTTCACAATGAAAACTGGTGATTTTTTCAAAAAATATTTTCTAGTTATATAACCCCAAATTTCCATCTCTATGATCATCAACGTCATTCGTTTTAAGATAACCTATATTATATATGTATATAATAATATATAATATATGTATCATATGTCTTAAATTCACAATCACATTGACATACATCGTTAATCTTTCCATACTTAATTATTATATTTTCAACAAACTGATTTCCTTTTGATAATAATACGTATATATACTTTGGATTCCATCTTGTGTGTTCAATCCATGGAATATCATCTTTTTCCCAATTATGTAAGATGAGTCCACAGCAAAAACATCGCTTTCAGCTAATGAGTATTTATCTTGAGATGAAGTTAACGGGAATAAGTTGAATGTTTTCAATCTTGAAGAAAATGTTGTATATTCTGGGTATTTAAGATATGCATTATTTCGTACTAAAGAAACTAGTGAACAAAAATTGTTGCTAAAATTTTGAAAATTCATTTTTTGTAAAAATAAAGAACTTTTTAATACACAATAGGTCTTGATCGAATGATGGTTTAATACTAACTAAACTGAACTAGATTAGATAATTAATTTTAAAGTTTGAAAAAACTTTAAATTTAAAATTGTAGTGTAACCAATAAACTGTTTTTTAAAATCTCCCT